GCGTAGAGCACACACATAGTGATTCACAATATATTGCCAGGTCAAAAATTATGAAACCAATATCACAATATGGACTTCAAACTAGTTTCGGATGATACATTGCTATATCACCCAGCTCTAGGGGACTTGCCTGTCATAGTTGACTTGTTGGAGTGAGGGAGAGACAGTAACCAGCTGATGAGCAGAGACTTGAATCCTCCTCTTTCCAGGAGTTTGCTTCAGCAGCGCGTTCCCCACAGGGAACAAGCTGATGAAGTATCACCAAGCAGGATTGAACGCCATTCATCAGCTGATGAGTGGAGACTTCAGTTCTGCTCTCTGGAACCATTTGAGCATGATTTAACCCACCCCCTCATCAGCTGAGGGGGCTAAACGCCAGTTCCCAGCCAAGCTGAGCAGGATTATACTATACCCCTTTCTCATCAACGGATGAGAAGGGGGCTAAATTCTGCTTCTTTGGGGAACTGGTGGAGCTGGGCATCTATTGGAGTGGTATTAGCTGATTGGTGGGCATGGGTTGGGGAAAATGGTTTGCTGGGCCAAATTGGTCCCCCCTGGCTGGTGGGCCAAAGGTTCTTCATTATAGGGGACGTGGGTGGCACTGTGGTCTAAACCACTGAGCCTCTTGGGCTTGCTAATCGGAAGGTCGGCAGTTCAAATCCGCGCAGTGGGGTCAGCTTCTGCCAACCTAGCAGTTCAAAAGCATACCAGTGCAAGTAGATAAATAGGTACTGCTGTGGCAGGAAGATAAACAGCGTTTCCATGCGCTCTGGCCTCCGTCATTGTGTTCTCTTGCGCCCGAAGCGGTTTAGTCATGCTGGCTGCATGACCCAGAAAGCTGTCTGCAGACAAACGCTGGCTCCTTTGGTTTGAAAGCGAGATGAGTGCCGTGCCCCATAGTCACCTTTGACTGGACTCAACTGTCCAGGGGTCATTTACCTTTTACCTTTATTCCTGGTATGTAGCAACAGCTGTAAAAGCTGATGGCATGACTGCTCTGGTGGCATTCATTGGGGCTTTGATAGCTGCTCCAATATATGCAGAAAGTTTCGCAGCCAGCCCACTTTGCTTTAGAGTGCTTCGCTTGGAAGAGGTCTTAAGTATCTTGCTTTGGTTTGGGATTTGGGGTTTGCCCAAACTGGTTAAACCACAGAGCCTAGGACTTGCTGATCAGAAGGTCGGCAGTTCGAATCCCCACGACGGGGTGAGCTCCCGTTGTTCGGTCCCTGCTTCTGCCAACCTAGCAGTTTTAAAGCACATCAAAGTGCAAGTAGATAAATAGGTACCGCACCGGCAGGAAGGTAAACAGCATTTCCATGTGCTGCTCTGGTTCTCCAGAAGCAGCTTAGTCATGCTGGCCACATGACCTGGAAGCTGTCTGCAGACAAACGCTGGCTCCCTTGGCCAATAAAGCGATATGAGCACCGCAACCCCAGAGTCGGTCACAACTGGACCTAAAGGTCAGGGGTTCCTTTACCTTTAAACTGGATCCACAACCCAGTAGCTGTTCAGTTTAAAAACGTGTAATCTTGCTTGGTCTTGCAAGCACTAGGGGGTTGACTTTTAACAGATGGTCTGAACGGGCTAGGCTGAAATCATTGTCAGTGCTGGTTGTCATTTCTCTATTGAAGAGCAAATGGGATGAGTAATTGCATTGCAGCTGTATTTATAGAAAAAGGGTTGTGAATTTTCAAGAAAACAGGAACTTTTGGTATCTAAGCCATAAGGGAAGATGTGAAATGTAAATGATATTCTAGAGAAGATAAATTATTAAAAGGGCTTAGATTAACTCAAGTGTGTCATCTCCATGCACAATTTGACTCCATCTGTCATGAATGTCTTGTCTACAAGCTTATATTGAAGCCTGGTGTTTAAGGATGTGCTTCAATATTTTAAAGTTGGGGACCAGAGCTAATGTTTTAAAATACGTAGAATTCATTTCTGTATTCGCAAGCACTTTATTGATGAATGAGCTGAAATGTATTTTATCAGTGCAAATAATGGGGCTAAAGAAATATAACGGTTTGAACTGAGATGTGCACCATATTTCCTTTGCCTTCTCAAATAACCCTTGTGGATGCAGTGTTTTACTAAATGTTATTGATTATTTGCTCTGGGATGCTGGCTCCAGTGTCCCATTAAAGCCCTGTCTTTGATTTGAAAAGTCCTTGAATTAAAGTGACATACACAACATGAGGGTAGCATACCTACAGAGCTTTCAGTAAGGACTAAACCTGCTTGATAGTGAAAGCCATAACATTTATGGCATAAATCAATGGCTGTTCTTTAATAATTCAGAAATAATTACATTAGAAAAACACACAAATGCAACAATATGTGGGTGGCCACCAGTATTACCTAATTTTCTTCTTGCTAGAGTTTTGATCCATTTCCAAGAAAGTTACTCAGCTTACGAGTTCCTCAAAAGACGTGGAGGTGGAACTTGTAAATTCCTGCAGTTTTAGAAGTGAGTTGATGTACACATCTCCCATCCTTTGTTTTAACACTAGTAATTACTCTGCAACGTTTTATGTTTCTGCAAAACGCAATAGTGAGCTACTCATCTGAACCCCCCCCTCCAAAATCATTTAGTCATTTACTTCAGCCATTTGGGCATGTATGCTAATTTTAATTCCTTACTCCACAAGCATCTTAGTCATGACGCACCCTGATATTCCTTCTCTCGGCTTATTTTATTTGTTAATGTTTTGGGAATGTTGGGATCCTGGGAACCACACTTTGGCCTAGGTGACTTTCATGCCCCCTACCACCCTTGCTTAGCAATTCTAGGATCACTGTCTTCTGAAACCATGTAGAAATAGTTTTTTCTTGTTCCCACAAAATTGCAAAGTCAGACAGGTGAACTGTTTGAGTCATGATCCTTTCCCTCCATATGCCAGACTACCATTGTCTGTGAATCTAACAAGGCTCTAGGTGACCAGCCCTCCATTATGTGAATCATTGCTTTGTCAAATCCTTTTTCAAAGGAGAGGTTTTCCCCAAATTGGTCTCTGTTGGTCTGGCACATCTGTATAGTAGAGCAGTTAATAAGCTGATGCTCACAGAAAACTTCCTGGGCAGGATACTTTTAGTCCCAACGTGGGGTATCCTTGTTTTGGTTGTCCATGTATACAGTGGTACCTCTGGTTAAGTACTTAATTTATTCTGGAGGTCCGTTCTTAACCTGAAACTGTTCTTAACCTGAAGCACCACTTTAGCTAATGGGGCCTCCTGCTGCCGCCGCGCTGCTGCTGCACGATTTCTGTTCTCATCCTGAAGCAAAGTTCTTAACCTGAGGTAATATTTCTGGGTTAGCGGAGTCTGTAACCTGAATCGTATGTAACCTGAAGCGTATGTAACCCAAGGTACCACTGTACTTGACTTCATTCTATGCCAATAATATTAATAATTTCAGTGCTGTATGTTAGTCTTTGACAAAAGAAACAACTACATTAGCGGTGCTAACAATATGTATGTTGCTATGGCTGTTTTGTTAATGTTAATTGCTGTACACGCAACCCCCCATTTACGCGGGGGTTACGTTCCAAGGCACCGTGTGTTTAGTGAAATTGCATACATTTGAAACACCATTGGAAAAGTCCCTGTTCCATCCCTGCCCTGCTCCTTTTTGTGATGTTTTCCTGTCGCTTTCGGGTTTGGAGCAGTGTGTGTGCGCGCGTGCAGTCATGCACATATTGAACACATGTAAATTGGGGGGTGGGGGTTGGGTTTGTGAAAATGTGACTTACTACCCTTATCTTACTCTTCCTTAAATTTCTCAGAGTAACTGAAATAACTTCCCTGGAAAAAAGGGAGGTATTTATTTTAGGAGTTTTTGTGTTACATAAGTGGTGCAAAGGAGTCTTGAACACTTCGATGGAATGTGCAGAGCATTGTTGTTTCGTGCATTCTTTAGCCAGAATTGTTTCTCTTCAGTTCTGTATAGAAACTCCCCCCCCTCCCACTTGTAGTGCTAAGTTTCTTTTGGCAATTGTAGGAGTCCTCATATTTTACCATGCAGGAATCATGTGGGGTTGGAGATAACCCTGTGCTTGTATGATTCTTTTTGAAATATAATGCATGAAGAATACAGAGCTGTAAAAGAAAGAAAAACATGCCCCAGAATCTCAAGGCAGAGTATTGAACAGTGATCTTAAACAAGCTGCATTTCCGTTTGTCATTGGTTGCATCAATTGTGCTTTTGCAAATTTACCTGATGCCGACTGGCTCATGACACAGTTCCAGTGTGGTTTTATGTTATCCATCTCAAGGTCTCACCCTCAGATCATAGTCTTTAAGCACTGTTGCAGTAACAGTGTGAAAACAATTCATATTTTGGTGACATTTATTGCTTAGGGAGAGGGATCAGGCATGAGCTTAATGTACTGTGGTTAAATTGCATTAGAGTCATTAAACTGAAATTGCATCGGAGCCATCTAAATGAAACGCTTATCACAAAGGAAACCATTTCTAGGTAGACAAGGACACACTTCCGAATTCTAGCTATGCATTTTTTGTTTTATGTTGGATTTCCAGGGTGGGGTGTTTTTGGGTTTTTTGCAGTGTACAGTGGCACCTCGGGTTAAGTACTTAATTCGTTCTGGAGGTCCATACTTAACCTGAAACTGTTCTTAACCTGAAGCACCACTTTGGCTAATGGGACCTCCTGCTGGCACCACACCGCCGGAGCACAATTTCTGTTCTCATCCTGAAGCAAAGTTCTTAACCTGAAGCACTATTTCTGAGTTAGCAGAGTCTGTAACCTGAAGCGTATGTAACCTGAAGTGTATGTAACCCGAGGTACCACTGTACTTCACATCTCTCTTCAGTGCTGTGATAAACTAACCAAGGTCTCCGTAACTGGGCAGGGGGTATAATGGATCAGGCAGTCCTTAAAGTCTCCTAAACCCAGGTTGTTGTGGTCCATGTAAATTAATCATAGTTGGAAGGGACACTGAGGATCATCTAGTCCAACCCCCTGCAATGCAGGAATATGCAGCTGTCCCATATGGGGATCGAACCTGCAACCTTGGCATTATCAGCACCATGCTCTAACCAACTGAGCTTGAACTTGGCCCGATAACACCAGTGCTTAAAGGCTGTACTGACTGTCCATATGTTATGTGCTGCCGGTTGTCTGTTCCCATCAACAGTGTGGCTTCAGCATTTTGCCTCAGCTCGAGCTCCAGACCAAGTGCAAGGGTAGCCTCTCATAGAGTGCACTGCAGTAATCAAGTCTTGAAGTTACCAATGCATGAATTACTATGGCCAGGCTATTTCTGCCTAAGAAAAGCCATAGCTTGCACACCAGCCATAGTTGGTAGAAGGCACTCCTAGCCACTGAGGCTTTTTGACGAGTGTTAGAAATGCAGATATATAAGCTAGGTGCCAAATGGCTCCATAGGGATGTGGGTGGTGCTGTGGTCTAAACCACTGAGCCTCTTGGACTTGCCAGTCAGAAGGTCGGCGGTTCGAATCCCCGCAATGGGGTGAGCTCCCGTTGCTCGGTCCCTGCTCCTGCCAACCTAGCAGTTTGAAAGCACAAAGTGCAAGAAGATAAATAGGTACCGCTCCTGCGGAAAGGTAAACTGCATTTCTGTGCGCTGCTCTGGTTCGCCAGAAGCAGCTTAGTCATGCTGGCCACATGACCCGGGAGCTGTCTGCGGACAAATGCCAGCTCCCTCGGCTTATAAAGCGAGATGAGCGCCGCAACCCCAGAGTTGTCTGTGACTGGACCTAATGGTCAGGGGTCCCTTTACCTTTACCTTTACCACCATCTGAAACAGGCAAACAACCATTCTTCTGGGTACCCACCCTTCTTCTCAGGGTTCACACTCAACCTATTAGCTTGCATCCATTCTGCAACTTCACCCAGACAATATTCCAAACCATATTCAGCCTCTCCTGACTCAGAGGTTAGGCTGAAATAAAGTTGTGTTTCATCAGCTCATCAGCATACTGCTCCAATCGCTACAAAATTCCTAAGGGCCACTCCCAACGTCTTTGTACAAATGTTTAAGTAGCATTGGTAACAGAATCATGCCCCCGGCTGCCCTCCATCTTTCTTGGGAGCCAATGGAAGAATGCGCCTTCAGGGCTGAAGTCAAACCATTGGAGAATGACAGCTCCTGCTGTGGCTGCAGAGACCAACACAGGAGAGGCGTGTTTTGTTGCAGTTGGGGCAGATGAAGGCATCCAGTTGTGCTGATGCAGGTATATACCATGGTGCTTCTTCTTTCTGTGCTCCTCTCAGTGGTCATTCCTCCTCTGGTCACTGCTATGGATAGACAACCTGATTGATTGTCTCCAGGCGCAGCTGCGGTCATTGCAAGGGATTCCCCCACAGCAAGGTTGAAGCACAAGGATTATGGAGCTAAGACACAATCTCTCAGTGCTACTATCTAGACATGGCCCTGGAAGGAGGAACAGGAATAGAGTGTAAAATGCTGTTCTTTAGTCGTTTAGTCGTGTCCGACTCTTCGTGACCCCATGGACCAGAGCACACCGGGCACTCCTGCCTTCCACAGTTTGGTCAGACTCATGTTGGTAGCTTCGAGAACACTGTCCAACCATCTTGTCCTCTGTCGTCCTCTTCTCCTTGTGCCCTCAATCTTTCCCAACATCAGGGTCTTTTCCAGGGAGTCTTCTCATGAGGTGGCCAAAATATTGGAGCCTCAGCTTCAGGATCTGTCCTTCCAGTGAGCACTCAGGGCTGATTTCCTTCAGAATGGAGAGGTTTGATCTTCTGCAGACCATGGGACTCTCAAGAGTCTCCTCCAGCACCATAATTCAAAAGCATCAATTCTTCAGCGATCTGCCTTCTTTATGGTCCAGCTCTCACTTCCATACATACTGGGAAAACCATAGCTTTAACTATATGGACCTTTGTTCGCAAGGTGATGGCTCTGCTTTTTAAGATGCTGTCTAGGTTTGTCATTGCTTTTCTCCCAAGAAGCAGGCGTCTTTTAATTTTGTGGCTGCTCTCACCATCTGCAGTGATCATGGATCCCAAGAAAGTAAAATCTCTCACTGCCTCCATTTCTTCCCCTTGAATTTGCCAGGAGGTGATGTGACCAGTGGCCATCTTAGTTTTTTTATGTTGAGCATCCCTGATAACCATCTTACAGAGCCAGCCCAGGAAGATGCTGTGGCCAGTGGTATTAAATTCCCCCAACAGCTTGAGAAGCAGAGATGTATTTTCCCTCTTCTGATCTCAGTAATGCGACAGCTTTGAAGCATTATGAAAACTTGCAACCTGGGGTAGCAAGGACAGCCAAAAAAAAGTATGCATAACTGCACTGAAACCTATGTTGCCTAGATTTTCAGATAATTGGAAGCAATCATTGGTAGGAAAACTTTAGTCTAAATCCCCCAAGTTCAGGGTTAGCTAGTATCTAAATCGAGATGCCTCATTTACTTGGAGATAAGAATAACACGCAGCAGAAATAAGTAATTAAGAAATAGGCATTTGAGACATGACTCAAGTAATTACGTTTCCCACTAGAGATTTGCAAAAGGCTGGAAGAATATAGGAAAGTGTGGCGGGTCTGTTTTCAACAAGGTCCTCTGAGATCATCACGTTTCTGAGCATCAAGGGGAAAGAATCTCCTTATACCCCTTTCAAATATCATATTTCTTCAACAACAGTAAGTAATAGCGCCAGATTTTTATTTTATTTTTTGCTTAAGAATATGAATGACAAAACTGGAAGATGTAAACTGGAATTTAATCCACAGGATGTCTCCCTTCTTTTGAAGATTTTTTTTTTTAAAAAAATCACACTTTGATGGGTATCACACTTTCATGTTTGTCTTATCTAGCCAGTTTATTACCCTAATTTGAAACTGATATGCATAAAAAAACTCGAAGAGTAGTTGCAACTTCTGAAATATTAGGTGGAAAAATGAATGCTTTCCTTGTAAGTTGTCTAGGTACAATCAGGGTTTTTTTTTTTTTTAAAAAAAACAACAACTCACGTTACATTTGAAGTCATAGGAGTTCAGCAATTCCTTTGTTTTTGAGTCTTTTCTGAATTTGCAGTTCCGATGAAGAGCTCCGTAATCGTACTTTGGTATGGCCAAGTCACACGACTGTTTTGTTATGGAGAGATAGAAGTCGCCTTTGTTGCATGGAAGGATCTTTCCCATGATGACCAGGGACCAGTTGCTGTGCTCCCACCATCACATAACGTTTCTGCCTGTAACATCTCTGTGTTGACCATGGACATTGCACAGGGGGAGCCTATGCTTGTAGTGCAAAACGTGTGCTGGAACTGGGTACAAAATACAGTGGTACCTCTAGTTACGAACTTAATTCGTTCCGGAGGTCCGTTCTTAACCTGAAACTGTTCTTAACTAGAGACGTGATTTCGCTAATGGAGCCTCTTGCTGCCGCTGCGCCGCCGGCACACGATTTCCGTTCTCATCCTGGGGCAAAGTTCTCAACTCGAGGTAACTCTTCCAGGTTAGCGGAGTTTGTAACCTGAAGCGTTTGTAACCTGAGGCGTTTAAACTCGAGGTACCACTGTACTGTGGAAGGCTATGTGCTCTGAGCTCAATGTGCCTAGGCTTCTCCTACACACATATTGGCACTCAGTGTGTAGGCAGTGGGGATGGGGCCCGCACAACCTCTCCTATTCATAGAGACACCTTCATGTGATTAACATTTTAAGTGGAGCTATGGGTGATGGAACCTTCTCCTGAATGGGCTACCTTCCCAGGCTGATGAGCCCCATTTATCCCTCACTTCCCTCTACATCACATGCAGAAACTGCTCTCTTGACCGTTGGACCTACTCATCCACTCAATCGCCTGTCTTCACATTCAGGGGACCTCTGATCCTAAACCTCCACTGCCTTGCAGGGTGAAGGCAGGAGAAGAAAAGGCCAAGGAATAAACCCTACATAAATCCAGAGTGTGTAGGTTGCATGGCATCTTGTGTGCCTCCTTCCAGCAACTCCTGGACCCAAGCTGGTGCCAAACGTATTGCTCTGCTTTCCTTTGGACCACATCAGTGAGGCTGAGGGGTGGGAGGTGGATCTTGTCATCTGGGCAGCCCAGGGCCTCCATACACACTGCCCGGGCTTGTGCCCCAGGGTGGTCACTTTGGTGCTGCTAATGTCTTCACCCCCGGAGGCACACTCCATTGTCTCTCAAGACAGATGGATGCCAACAAGGTGATTGAACAAGTGAATGGAACTCAATGTCCCCTGGTTATTTCTGCTATTCTTTCAGATTCTAAACCACAAGCATATTTGTAGCTGCTGGGATATCAGTCATGCCATGTGTCTGTTGGCAAGATCACTGCAGTCTTGGGAATGAAAGCTGTTGTAAGGTTGCTATGGCTCTTGACTCATCAAAATCCATCCTGATTAGTCTCTGCTCCACCATAGTGAAGCCGACTTCCTCTTACCCCCAGTAAAGGTAAAAAGGTAAAGGACCCCCGGACGGTTAAGTCCAGTCAAAGGCAACTATGGAGTTGGGGCGCTCATCTTGCTTTCAGGCTGAGGGAACTGGTGTTTGTCCACAGACAGCTTTCCGGGCCATGTGGCCAGCATGACTAAACCACTTCTGGCGCAACAGAACACTGTGACAGAAATGAGAACACACTGAAACTCTGTTTACCTTCCTGCCGCAGTGGTACCTATTTATCTACTTGCACTGGTGTGCTTTCGAACTGTTTTGGCAGGAGCTAGGACAGAGCAACGGGAGCTCACTCCGTTGTGGGGATTCGAACTGCCAACCTTCTGATCGGCAAGCCCAAGAGGCTCAGTGGTTTAGACCACAGCGCCATCTGCATCTGACAGTAGAACTGGCCAGAAGGCAGTGTTGCGCCTACCAGCTCTGTATTTCTTAGGTGGCATGAGACATCCAAAGGTTTTCACCTGGCCCCATGACTTGCCTGTCTAAGGACCAGTTTTCTCTCACCATCCTTTACCTCCTGCTCACATGTCTGCATAAACAGCAGCTTGCTCAGTGCTTGCTGTCCCATGGAATAGTTTTGAGATTAGTGGTAGACAGGAAATCTCTTAGCTGTTTGGCTGAAGTTAAGAGCATATAGAATTGCCGGCCCTACTG